GAATCTATTAAGACAAGGTCCCATTATTATCATCTCGTGTTTTTAAGTTTAAGACACTATAGTTTCATACTTCAAAGGTGTTTCCTTTAAATCTAGCTTCAAACTTAACATTGCAACGAACACAATTTACCCTTTCAACACAAATATAACGTAGTCTCAAAGAGTAACATCAAGTAATTAAATTTATTGAATATTAACATTATAAATATAACTAAATAAATTTATTAAAACTCATTATAACAATAAAATCAATGGTGACAGGAACTAAATCCATGACCAATATTTGGACATGTCTTCCTAGTGTGACCAGAGGTGTGACAATAGAACAATTTTTTACACGATTATGTTGTTCTCTAATATCCATCTCTGTTCTAATCCTGCTGGACTTTGGCCGACCCTTGGAAGTCCTCTTGAGTTCTGGATTTGGCCACATAGTTGGACCAATGTAAGTAGGCCAATAATCTTCATGTCGGAGCTCTCCAAACTGTCCTTCGTATACCTTTGCAACTTGTTGAAAGGTCTATATGGGAGATATGTAGGTTTGATAGTTGTGACGTGCATGTAAGCATGAAGCGAGTACATGCGAGCAAGGAATATGAATTTTCTAGAACTTGTCACAATCACACCACATTTCATCTAACCTTACTGAAATCTCCCAGCGGGTCGAACTTCTCTCGGATGTTGCGTTTCTTCTACTAGAAATCTAATGCTTGATCTGTCAAAGGTGATAACTCTATGAGTATTTGCCTTGGACTGTGCATCTTGAATAGTTTTACTTGCAATTTCTGAGTAGACATGTCCAGCATTAATCATTGCATCCACTTCCCTGCCTCTTTGAACGAAAAACTTGTTGCAACGAGTGTATGTAGCCATTACCATGGAACAAATTGGAAGATTTCGTGTTTTCTTCGATATAGAATTAATAAACTCGGTTAGGTTTATTGTCATGTATCCCCAACGTCGTCCATTGTCCCATGCTAGTGTCCATTTTTCCCTAGGATTGTTGTCTAACCATTGGGTTGTTTCTGCATTAGTATCGCTTACTATGTTGTAATAGTAAAAGAATCTAGGTTCAGTCATCCCATAGGCTGAAAAAAAATAATTAAATAATAAAAACTAATTATTAAATGTTTAAAAAAAGTAATGATAAAATTACCCATGTTGACGACATCCTTTAGCTCTTTCGAGCGCAATGTCGAACGCTCCGGACCGCAAGCCCTTCTGGAAGGCAATGACCGCCATTCTCTCATCCAACGATGCTATCTTTAGAGCCATCTCATTGAATCTCTGCAGAAAATCCTTCAATGACTCCTCCCGTTGCTGCTTAAGATCAAATAAATCCGACGTGATCGGTGGCTTCTTCTTATTAGCTACGAATTGAGCCATAAACAGCCGACTGAAAACGTCAAAGTCGGTGATGGATCGGTCGGGGTGGCCACTAAACCAATCAAGCGCCGCCTTTTTGAGCGTACCCATGAACAGTTTGCAACGGACTTCCATGCTCCCTCCGCAAATCAGCATCTGAGCTCGGAAATCTGTTAGATGTTGACTGGGATCCATCGAAAGGTTCGACCTGCGGTATTCGATGATCCCTTAGATTTTTACGGGGGTTAGATTTTAATCTGTTAGATTTTATGTCATAACCTACTACGCACGTGCGGGGGTGCGCCCAAAGGCCACAACGCGCGTGAGACGTTGTGACTCCCTGTTATGAGGGGGCCCCACGTTTGTAACCCTAGCCACAAGGGATGCCACGTGGCACCATCATAACTTGAAATGCATTAATGCTCTGGAGCGCCGCCTTTGTAATAAATACATGTCCTTTCCTTGGCAGGGGAACGGGCGCGTCCCATCAACTTCCAGGAAGTCGCGATGTTTGCGACCTGTCTCGGAATAATCCCGATAACCTCTCTCGGCCTATGACCGGGATGACCCCAAAAATGGAGCTCCTTAGCCTCTTTGCCTTACAGGCTCGAGGCTGGAAGGCAAGTGTACTGTCTCGGTAAATAACCGACTAGTTGGCCAGGCCCTAAGCCTCTTTGCCTTACGGGCTCGAGGCTGGAAGGCAAGTGTACCGTCCGGGTAGTAGTCCGACATGACCTTCGTATTGGCAGTATGGCGATCATAACCTACTACCCCGCTTTAATCCGAATATTTCACCTACGAGAGAGGACACTCGGTCTAAACCCGACTACAATTATGTCCAGCGCAATCCCATTCATCCAGAAGGGTACTCGGCATATTACCGACCTAACCTCTCGGTAGGGGGTCTAGTCGGTTTTAACCCGACTCAACCTAGTGTACTCTCTCGGTCAAAATCCGATTTAACCCTCCCACATAAATGCTGATCCGATATCAGGGATAAAATCCCATCTTAAATGATAAAATATTCTCCAAATATTAACGGTTAAGGAAATCCCTTGATCTTCGGGGCCCAAGTGGCCCATGAACGACGTACCATAAAACCCAAAACCCTAGAGTTGAGGAGGCAGATTACACTTTTGAATGCTCTGGTTTTGAGGCTTGACCTAGGAAAAAACCCTAGTCCACCTTTTGGCCGGAACATTTTGGCGCCCACCGTGGGGCTACGGTGAAACTCTTCCTACGCCCCAAGTCATATAGAAAGACCTACACTTTACCATGGCGAGAGGCGGCAACAACAACAACTCACAACCCCCTACCATGGAGGAGATGATGGCCATGATCAATGGCCTACGGGAGGATAATGCACGATCCAGGGAGAGAGAGGAGGCCATTCAGCGCGAAAACGAGGAGATCAGGAGGCGAGCGGATGAGTTACAGGCCAGGATAGAAGCCAACACCAGAACGTTGGAGGAGGATGTCATGTAGGAAGTCCCAAGGGATTTTCAGCCTTTCTCGGAGGCCATAGAGGCCGAGGCCATCCCTAGGCCAAACTAGTCGGTTATTTACCGAGACAGTACAGTTTGTAATTCCAAAATTTGGTATTCTTATTAATTCGTATGGGAAACCCTAAGGGAATACATTGGTAGTTGTATGAGAAGATTGTTTAAAGATATAGTTGGATGAGTAAATTGTACTATTTTAATGTTTATCTCATGATTTAGAATACTTTTACCAATTGTATGAAAAGATTGATGATTGGGATGCAAATAAAAAATCACATATTTAAGAGTTTTTTATCACAAAAATCATGTTGAGCCCCATTTTTGGTGTTGAGCGTCAAGGTGGCAGAGAGATAGTAGTGTTGTTTGTGACCCTCAAGCTGAGCGTGAGCTTCACATTGAGTGTGGCCCATGCTAAGCGTGAATTTCATGCTGAGTGTGGCTCAACCAAAGAGTCAGGGTTACTCTATGGAAGTCTTATGTTGAGCACCTAGTTTGGGGTTGTGCGCCAGTTGTCCTGTTGTGCTTCCTTCCTTCTCTGTTTGATAAATTCTATTGGTGTAATGTGAATCTTATGATACTTCTCTTGTGTGATCTATGATTGGCAGTGATGTGAGTTTCTTGTATTCTTCAATGTTATCCTTTAAAGAATACAATTGATGGTTATATGATATGAGATAGATTGATATGGTTGAAACGACATGATGAGGTTATATTATAAGGAGACATGATAATGTGATATGATAATGCGTATAATCTTGATTTACATGCATCATTTGCATAAATATTTTTAAGGGTACGAGTGTTATTCAATGTTGTCCTTTAAAGAATACAATTGATGGTTATATGATATGAGATAGATTGATATAGTTGAAACAACATGATGAGGTTATATGATAAAGAGACATGATAATGCATATAGTCTTGATTTACATGCATCATCTGCATAAATGTTTTTAAGGGTACGATGTGGAATACATCGTCAAGGAAGGTCCCCTTGTGTAAAAGCTTGAGGATCAGTCCTTGGGGATAGCTCGATTTGTAAGTCACAATCTTGCCCATTGTGTGCATGAGATGTATCTTGTGCGACTTAGCTATCCTGACTAGACCCTAATAGTATGTCCTTAGTGAGAGTGCATAGAGAGTGTGACCCAGCATGTACTCCTAGACTACTCTATGCGTGTTTCTAGCGGCAATGCACCACATGATGTTTTACTAGCACCACATGATGTTTTACTAGCACCACATGCATGATAATATGTAGTTTGTGTCCATTACATGTGCATTTTTATGTTATAAGTTAATTAATTTTTATGTCATGGATGAGTGAAGTGTGATATTTTTATTAACTTGTTTATGTTATGTATATATACATATCTTGTTTTTTTATTTGGCCATCTGGTGTGCATTCCTACACCATGAGCTAGAGTGAGATATTTCTTACTCCATTTTTCTTTTGTGTTGTTTTCCCTTAATTGTT